AAGAACCTCTCAACTTCGTCGGGGCTCTCAAATGATAGACGACGGCAAGCGGACGACTTAGACTTGATGTATCGAGGGGCTTGAACAGAGCGATAGATCAGAAATATCGCAGATATGAGGAGGAGGCCGCAAAGGGCACAAGTCCAAACTATGGCAGCGATTTCTCCGAATTCCATTTTCCGTCAGATGATGCGAAAATATTGATAAACTGAAGCACACCATTTGCGTGCGACTGCCATATAGTTCTCGCATGCATAGCACAGTTTTGTTATTGGAAGGTTACCACCAACTGGCCTGGAAGTAAGAAGGCCGCTAGGGATGATGGACCAGGCATTCCCCGTCAACTTCGTATTAGCCCTCACTAGAAACGAAACATGAAAATGGTAAATTGCAGGCTCAAGACTTTGTTAACATTCAGGTTTTTCGACAGTTGACTAACATGTGGCCTCCAGAGCGAATGGACGACCAAACTTGCCAGAAACCATACTTCATTCGATCGTCCTTCTGACTAGGCCTGATGTTCCCCAATGACATTCATCATCATCATCCTCCAGTGCTGAGGCATTGAGTGGAGATAGCGTTCCAGAACCCCGGCGAAAATTAATAGACTCAACACCCTCCAAAATATCTAATTCGATAAACAATAGCTATCTTGCTATCAAGCAAAGGAGTAAGAATCTATTGCATGCATAACACTATGTCATTAACCTACAGATAATCACCATCCCACTTGCAGACGTTGCCAATACCACGTAAAAAAGTCCTATCTCGGAAGGAAAATAGGACGAAAAGTACTGACCATCTGGACAACAGGGAAAGCTGTGAGGAAAGCGCAATGGTGATGGTATCATGTATCAATGACTAGTGTACGATAATGTCTGAACAAGTGGCGTAATGAACGCCTGCGAACTTGGACCACATGTAGAGGATGGTGTAGGGCCCAGGCTCAACGTTACAAGGTATGATAATATCAGCAGAAGTAATGTCCTTAGTAACATGTTTGTTATAAAATGGTAGGCAGTCCTCTAGCGAGGTGAAGTCTTCCCATGAAGGATCAGAACTGTATGGAGCCATCTTGAACACGATGCATGTCCCTGACACCTAGAGATGATGGCGACTATGAGAAACCACGGCCTACCGTCAGAGACGGAATTAGTGTGCCCGTTACCCATCCAGGAGATATGTAGTTTTTGCCCTGAATGTAAGCCAGCTTCAATACTCGATCATATGGAGGTCTCACCTCGAGTAACTTCTGCACGGTCGTTTGTATTGGAAGCACCAAGCGAGCCAGCCCGTCTGCATGGTCGTAGAGAGCTTTCGTCAAAAGCATTATATGGCGGGGGCAGATTCTGGCACTGACTTAGGGATGACTTCGGGCACACCGGGCGCTACAAAACAGAGAGGCTTCACGTAGAGAACGATTTAAGACTTTGAGTTACTCACCGCATAATAATGGTCAGGAATACCGTGCACGTTTGGGCCCATCCTAGGATGACCGCTTCTGATGTCTCCTATCAAATTAAATACCCAGCTGTGGGCGGACGCCTTAATAATGATGGAAATGATGATAGCACAGATCATCATAATGCATTCAAATGATAACCTATCAAACAATGTCATCCATCTACAAATTGCGCCATCACTGACACTTCTATAATAGAAGCACCAGTGAGCGCAATGTGCACCCGAACGATTCTCAAGAAGGATTAGAGACATGACGTCAGTGACGTATTATAATTCTCCTTTGTAGGAGGTAGACAATTATCAGTGCCTTGTGGTGACGGGGTCTCCTTCTACCGTCAACTCCGTGATGAGTAACCATCCACCTCAGAATAAAGTAACTCGACTTCCTCCTCCGACAATCGTGATATGAACTCGAGCGAGACAAAGTGGTGAGCAAACGTCACTAGCTCCTCTCGTTCGAGAGAAGCCTCGGTCGTACAGTCACTTTTGTCGAGTAATAAACCATAGTTACGACCATCCCACAAGCACATAACAAA